GAGGAGCGGAGGCGCTCCAGGGAGCGTAGCAAGGACAAGGACCGGGAACGGAAGCGGCGAAGTAGCCGGAGCCGGGAACGGGCACGTCGGGAGCGGGAACGCAAGGAGGAGCTGCGTGGTGGCGGAGGTGGTGGCGACATGGCAGAGCCCTCTGAGGCTGGTGATGCGCCTCCTGACGATGGGCCTCCTGGGGAGCTGGGTCCTGACGGCCCTGATGGTCCAGAGGAGAAGGGCCGGGATCGTGACCGGGAACGACGTCGGAGCCACCGGAGCGAGCGGGAGCGGCGGCGGGACCGCGACCGAGACCGGGATCGCGAGCACAAGCGGGGGGAGCGGGGTGGCGAACGGGGCAGGGATGAGGCCCGAGGTGGGGGGGGGTGGCGGCCAGGACAACGGGCTGGAGGGTCTGGGCAATGAAAGCCGAGACATGTACATGGAGTCTGAGGGAGGTGATGGGTATCTTGCTCCGGAGAACGGGTATTTGATGGAAGCCGCACCAGAGTGAAGAGGGCCTTCCTCCCCCCGCGCCCTGGTTCTGTTTGGACGTGTTCCTACCCACCCCTCTGCTGTCGTCCTCTCCCCCCGACCTCGGCCACCACCTAAGTTTGCCAGCCAAGGGTAGGAGTCTCCTTATTTGTTCTGGCCCCTTGGATTTAAAAATAAAATTAATTTCCTGTTGATAACGAGCACCTTGGTTTCTTCTTCACTGCTCTTCATGTCTTCCTCTGAAGGTCGTCACCTGACTGTTGATGGCCCCACTTTCGTTTGTGTCCCAAGGCCTGCCAAGGACTTGGGCTTTTGACCTAAGGCTGGGGCTACCCACACTACACCAGACCTGCTTAAAATGGGATAAAGAGATGCTCTGCAAGGGTTCCCTCTGTTAGGATTTTTGATCCCTTCGTGATTTTCTTCCTTTTTTTTTTTTTTCCCCCAAATGTCTTCCACATTCCCTGTGGGGCCGTCCCTACCCTTGTCTCGGTGGCCGAATGGGGTTCTAGACACTAGATTGCTCAGTGGAAGCTGCAAGTTTGTGTGAAAGGGAAGCTGTCGTCTGCGTTGGGGAGAGCGGGGAAAGGCTGAGGAGATGAACTAGGAGTGCAAGCTGCAGAGGGATAAGATGGGGGCCGCAGAGCATCTGCACGAGGCCAGGAGGGCAAAGGGCCTGCGGTTGGTGATCGCGAGTTCACCATGAGTATTTTCACCTCATGCCTGCCAATGACAGTGGAGGATTAACAAGAAACCCAGGAGAGGTTCCATCAGCAGTTGAGATTCCAGCTATTTGTGGACAGAAGATTACTAAGGTGGTGGTGAGGACACTGCAATCTGGTGACCGCTTGAGAAGGAAGCCAGTGAGCCTTGCAGAACCCCAGAGGGGCTCGAGACCACAGCTGCAAGTGCAAGCATAGCGGACTCCGGAATCTCTGCCCAGAACAGCTGCCCTCTGTTTGAGCCCTCGGGATGCCTATGAGCCGGGCATCTTCTGCCCAGACAAATACAGGACCTATTTTTGTGTCTGAAAAGTTTCTCAGTCTAAAGGTAAACTTGGCCTGATAACCCACAGGCAGCCTGTCCGCTAAACCTGGCACAAGGATTATGCTTTTTAACTACCTCGGTCTACATAAACATGCAAAAATGGCCGGCAATGGAGAAGATCCTGCAGCAAGAGACCAGAAGCTAAATGGAAAAACTGGTCCTGGAAGGAAGAATTTAGGGAATAAAAGAGAACTCAATGCCTCTAATTAGTATATTCTCATAGAGATCCCAGATAGTGCACCTGGACTTCTGGAATTGGCTGTGAGCACAGGCCCGTTACATAAAGCCTGGACAAAACCTGCAAAAGCAGCTTGCGGAAGGCATTGGGGAGCTTGGCTCGAGGGTGTCTGATGCCGAAGAAAAGGAAAGCACGCAGGTGAACTTCATATTTACCCGCCCTTTTTCCTCGAGGGCATTTGCCAGTTTAGTGTGGGGGAAGTAGACTCAGCGGCAGTCCACTGGGCTGAGTTCACACAGGTTGGACTGCATAGCTTGGACTGGAGGGCCAAATTTCCAGGTGGGGCACTGAGCCCCCAGATCTGGCCTCAATCTTCCCTCAAGGCATTTGCAAGCCGCGGAACCACTTGCTGTGGGTGCAAGACACCTGCCCCCCCCAGCCCCGCCCAAGGGCTCATCCGAAAGCTGTAGCTGGAGGCTACCGAGCTGAGCAAAGGCGGCCACAGCCTTGCAATGGCCATGCTGGAGATCTCCAGAGCTCCACCATATTGGAGTAAGGCCACAAGTGAAACAAACCAAGCATGAGGAAACCTCAAAAGGACCTGTCAGGATTTATAAGGTGATCTCTCTGCCGGGAGAGGACTTAGCCCTTTGGGGGAAGATCGAATTCAGAGCCTCTGTGATTCTTAGTACACAATGCTCAGCATTTACTAAAAAATCATGAGGCATTCTAGAAAGAAGACTTGAGTTGCTGAAAACCAAGGGAAAAGTAGCCAAGAGACCCAGGCATTCTGATGTTGGGAGTTATCAGTGAAATAACTAGGAAACAAGGAAAGGATGGAGAGCTTTAGTAGAGATCTGTCATCTTTAAAAGAAAAAAATCAAACGGAAACTTCAGAACTGAAAACAGTAACAAATTAAGAATGTAGGTGCAGTGCGCCTGGGTGGCTCAGTCGTTAAGCGTCTGCCTTAGGCTCAGATCATGATCCCAGAGTCCTGGGATCGAGCCCCGCATCGGGCTCCCTGCTCGGCAGGGAGTCTGCTTCTCCCTCTCCCACTCCCCCTGCTTGTGTTCCTGCTCTCGCTATCTCTCTCTCTGTCAAATAAATAAATAAAATCTTTAAAAAAAGAAAGAAAAAGAATGTAGGTGCATTCTGCAGTTAATCAGATACAACATAACCCGAAATGTTCCTGTTACAACACATTAGAAGTGCTGGGGTGGGGGGCGGTGCCTGGGTAGCTCAGTCGTTAAGCGCTCACGTCATGATCCCAGGGTCCTCGGATTGAGCCCCGCATGGGATTGAGCCCCGCATTGGGCTCCCTGCTCCGCGGGAAGCCTGCTTCTCCCTCTCCCACTCCCCCTGCTTGTGTTCCCTCTCTCACAGTATCTCTCTCTGTCAAATAAATAAAATCTTAAAAAAAAAAAAAAAGTGCTGGGGTGGGGAAAAAGACAAACTTTCTTGAAAGTAAGAGAAACCTCACCATCTTTTAAGGAAGTCAACAGGGAGTTAAAGGAGAGGAAACAGGATCCAGTTCAGAGCAGCAGGGGAAAATCCCAGATGGCAGTTTCTAGAGAGCACTTAGTCCACACTGGAGTCAGAGGACTCAAATTTCTAAGGAGTTTCACAATAAAAAAGCTTCAGTCGCTGAACTGATGGCATTTATCATTTCACAATGTACACAAATAAAACCATCGTGCTGTAAGCACCCTAACTTCTACAGTGATGCTTGTCAATTATTTCTCAGTAAACCTGGCTAGAAAAGATTCAGTAAAATATGTTATGATGGAAAGTTTGAAAAATGGAGAATGTGGAAGAAAAGCAGATTGAAGTCGCAGAAAAAAAGCTGTTCAGGAAAGGCAATGTAATCACAGAACACTGCCTGGGCTCTCTAGTAAACAGTCAGTACTTAGACATAATATGAGCACTTTATTGATTGCCCTAGGAACTGGTACCATAAAACTACCATGGGAAGAGAGCGGAAAGGTTGTAAGAGCAGAAAATCAATATGTAATATATTACTAACGTCTAAAATTGATAAATTGAGAAGTAACAGATTACTTAGATACACAAGCAAAGTATCTTTAAATTGTTGCCTCTTGCAGCGGGGAGAGTTAGGACAGGGGTTGGTGCTTTTCAGTATTAGCCCTCCTGTGTTACTTGATTTTGTTTTCACTGTCAACTGTTGTTAAAATGAGAGAAAAATACTATGAAGGAGAGGGATAGACATACCTGCTCTAGTCCTCTCACTTGGCTAAAGTCCTTTTCAGGATTCCATTCCCCTATCCAGCTAATGGTGCTGGTGGGCAGCAGTCAGACTTCTCCACAGTCTTGTCAACGTTTCCTGTATTTCTTTGGCCTCTCTAGAGTGTATCTGATACCACTGCCCACTTCTTTTTTTAAAAGCACTCTCTTAACCTTTCCTCCCACCTGGTTTTCCTCCTACTTTCCTGCCATTCTTTGTCTTCTTCCTACCTTTGAAATGTTAGGAGTTTCAGGGACTCAGTCCTAGGTCCTCTTCGTTGTGTATTATCTTGCCCCCAGCTAATGAACACAGCTAACCACCAAGACAGGTCCAGACATTTCCAAATCTGTCCACCTGTCCTTCCTGTCTCCTATCCGTGTCCAAGCCATCACAGTATTGCTGGGAGAACCTTCTCGCTGGTCCCCCGGCTTCCGCTGTTGCTGCCATCCAATCCAGTCCCCACATCGTAGCTACACGGATCTTAAAATACACATGTGAATATCACATTTTACTCTTAGGAGTTACCACGAAGTCCAAAGTCGTCATGTGTATGCCAACACACAAGGCCGTGCATAACCTGTATCCTGCCTACCTTCTCACCATCATGAACCACTCTAGTTTTTACTTTGTGGGCTCTTTCCTCCTGGAAAATGATTCATGCCCCACCTCCTGATGACCTTCCCTCCAAGGACTATCTCAGTGGCCCTCCTGGAACACCACCTCCTCACTCCCAATTTATCACAGCCATAGTTGGTTGTTTACCTCCCCTCTCCCATAGACTAAGTTCCTTGCGAGCAGTGGGCTTGTTTGCCCTGCTCACCATCGTGTCCAGATGTTTAACATAACGTTTGTTCAATGAACGTGGAAAAAAGAGAAAGGGGAGAGACAGATGTGGCGGGCAGGGCAGTGAAACGGAAGGAGGTGCAAACAAGCTGCAAGAGGAGGGGTCCCAAACGGGACAGACAGTTGGCGACTGTGGGCTGGGCAGCCAGACAGGCGTGGCAGCAGGTGGCGCGGCCACGGCGCCGGGAGCGGAGCACAAGTCGAGCCGCGCCCCCGCTGGGGGCGCCCGCCGCCCGGGGCGTGGCCTCGCGCAGCCCCGCCTTCCTCGCCGGAGACCGGGCGGGCGGGCAGCTCGCCGCGGCGGCGCAGACATGGCTGCGCTGGTGGAGCCGCTGGGGCTGGAGCGGGGTAAGCGCGCCAGGGGGCCCTGCCCACCGGCCGCGGCCCGCGTCCGGGACCTCGGTCCCCGTCCCTCCCCGGCCAGGCCCCCAGCGGGTGGGCGGGCATATCGAGCGGGGGGTGGGCGGGGCGCCGCGGTTTGTGCGTTTGGGAAGGTCCGTGGGCTTAGCGGGCCCAGGAGGGGCGCCCACAGCACAGCCCTTCCTGTGTGCGCATGGGGTCCTGGGGCGCAGGGCGCCTGGCTGGTCGCAGTCCCCTTGTCCCCGGCGACTCTGCGGGTGTCCGACGGGGACTCGGCTGTCTTTCCCGGGATCTGTCAGCGCTCGCCCTTACTCGGTTTCTGCCGCATCTCTCCGTGCTTCTCTGCGTCTCTGACTCTGTCTCTGCGCCCCGCCCCCGCCCCGCAGACGTGTCCCGGGCGGTGGAGCTCCTCGAGCGGCTCCAGCGCAGCGGGGAGCTGCCCCCGCAGAAGCTGCAGGCCCTCCAGCGAGTCCTGCAGAGCCGCTTCTGCTCTGCCATCCGGGAGGTGAGAGCAGCGCGGCGCCGGGGCACAAGCGGGCGGCCGCCGTCTTGGTCGTCGCCCAGAGCCCAGGGACTACGCCTCCCAGCAGCGCCGGGGGCGGCCCGCTTGGGGGTGCCCGCGCTTCAGCTGCGGGGTTCTTCGGGAATTGTAGTTTCCTCGGGCTCCGGGCTGCTGGGGGCGGGGCCGATCCTTGGGTGGGAGGGTCTGCGGGCTGGACTCGGGAGTTGAAGGGAGGAGGGGCTGGCTGGTGGTCCCCTGATGCTGCCGTTGTCTTCCCCAGGTGTATGAGCAGCTCTATGACACGCTGGACATCACGGGCAGTGCTGAGATCCGGGCCCACGCCACAGCCAAGGTAGGTACCCCCCATGCCATCACTCATGGTATCCACTGAACTGCCTGGTCTAGCTTAGTAACTTCCTAAAGTCAGTCATGCCTGTTTCTTCCTTCATGATTTTTGCCAAATCTATGTACTAGCGTTACTATTATTTACTGGTATTATAATCTCATAAGTTGTACTTGAATGTCATATAATGGCATCTTTAGCAACTTCAAATGTGAACTAGTGCCGCATACCTGACAAGAAGATACCTTTTGGGGCGCCTGGGTGGCTCAGTCCATTAGGCAACTACCTTCGGCTCAGGTCATGATCCTGGAGTCCCAGGATCACGTTCCGCATCGGGCTCCCTGCTCAGCGGAGAGTCTGCTTCTCCCTCTGACTCTCCCCCCTCTCATGTGCTCTCTCTCAAATAAATAAATAAAATCTTTAAAAAAAAAAAAAGAAGAAGAAGAAGAAACCTTTTAACACCTATACAATGAAATAGCATGAAACACTGAAATCTTATTAAACTATAGTTGTATGCTGTTTCTTGCTGCTTCCTGGAGGCTCTCAGCTCCTTCCAGGCCTTGTTTTTCTCTATTAAAAATCGAGATTGGCAAGTGTTGACTATTTAAGACACACTCACACCAGGTGGAGACATTCCCTTTGACATGTCTGAAGCATCCAGAGTGAATTAAGAGAGACTCATTACAATGCAAGCTTGTGCTGAACTGTGGCAGGTGTCCCCTGCGCGGGGAAAGTGATCTGGCCCAAATTGCTCTCCCTGGCCCAGATCCTCCCCGCTCATCTGCCTGCCCACCATGGAGCGGCCCTCATCTCCCAGTGCTTTCTCTCTCCCAGGCCACAGTGGCTGCCTTCACAGCCAGTGAGGGCCACGCACATCCCAGGGTAGTGGAGCTGCCCAAGACAGATGAGGGCCTGGGCTTCAACATCATGGGGGGCAAGGAGCAGAACTCCCCCATCTACATCTCCCGTGTCATCCCTGGAGGTGTGGCTGACCGCCATGGAGGCCTCAAGCGTGGGGACCAGCTGCTCTCAGTGAATGGTGTGGTGAGTGGGGACTGAGGCTGGGCTCACAGTCTGTTCAAGGTAGCACAGTCCCTGCTTTTGACATTCATTCAACAAGCAACGATAGAGTACTGCGTGCTGGGCACTGCTACAGACCCTGAGAGAAGTTTGCCTCAGCTCCTATACTCAAGGACTCCCTTCTTGGTGAGGGAGAGTGACTGGAATAGTCCTAATCTGGGGAGATAATAATGAGGAAGCACAAAGCACCGCGAGAGCCCGAATATGGTCTGTGGTGTAGATGAGGGAAGTTTTTGCAGAGAAAGGAACATTTGAGTTGGGTTTTGAAGGACGAGGAGGAGTTCTCCAGGCAAATAAAGTAGAGAAGACTATTAGCAGCTAAGGGTGTTGTAGGTAGGGGCTGTGACTCTATACTCCTCTGAGCTGAACAGAAAGGGCTTAGGTCTAGTGGAGGACTGAAGCACATAGTTACTTAAAATCACTGTGGTTAGAAATAGATGGCAGCACAGCTGGATCAGTAGTGGGGGCCGGCTACACAGGGCCTGAGTACCAGCCTGAGAAGCTGGGACTTTGTCTAAAGGGTTCTGGGGAGCCATGGGAAGGCTGAGAAGAGGAGATGGATAGGCTCAGCTTGGAGGTGTAGAAAGATCCCTTTGGGACTTTACAGGGGATGGACTGAAGGTAGAGACTGGAGGCCAAAAATTCTAGGGAGGAGGCTAGGTGAAAGTCCACTGGGGAGAGGAGGAGGCCTGAGCTGGGACCAGGGTGGTGGGGACAAAAAGGAGGGAGTCAGGGCGCCTGGGTGGCTCAGATGGTTAAGCGCCTGCCTTCGGCTCAGGTCATGATCCCAGGGTCCTGGGATCGAGTCCCGCATCGGGCTCCCTGCTCCTTGGGAGCCTGCTTCTCCCTCTGCCTCTCTCTCTCTCTCTCTGTCTCTCATGAATAAATAAATAAAATCTTTAAAAAAAAAAAAAAAAGAGGGAGGGAGCTGGAGATTAGCAGGCTTCGGGGACAGAGGGGATAAAGATGGACCTGGAGGTCTAGCCTAGTGAGCGAGGGCAGATAGGGCTTGTCCCTGACATGAAAACCTTGGAAGTTTTTGAGGGAGGACCCTGAGCCAAGAATTAATGACTCTTCCCTGAAGACTCGAGGCCTTGACATCTCAGGTTGGTACCAGGCCCACCACCAGTAGGTCCCATTTCCACGGGTGGGGCTGGGTGTGGGTGGTAGGCCCCAGGCGCAGGTGTCTGTGCACTGCCCTGCAGAGCGTTGAGGGTGAGCAGCACGAGAAGGCAGTGGAGCTGCTGAAGGCAGCCCAGGGCTCGGTGAAGCTGGTGGTGCGTTACACACCTCGTGTGCTGGAGGAGATGGAGGCCCGCTTCGAGAAGATGCGCTCTGCCCGCCGGCGCCAGCAGCATCAGAGCTACTCGTGAGCCCTTTGCCACCACACCCCCGGGGCCTCCGTTGCCTCCTTTATCCCGAGTCCCAAACCAGGCCAGTGATTTCTGGGACCTTCCTGGCTACCCCCAGCCCTGGCTCCTCTCCCTGGGGTTCTGACCCTTGACCCCGACCCAGGCTCTCACAAGCCGTTCTGGCTACATCCTTTGGGGACTCCCAGCTCACTGTCACCCCAAGATCTGCAGCCTACTCTCTGGAATCCCTCAGTCTGCTTCCCTGGGCCTTTGGCTCTGGAACCCCAGTCCTGGTTCTCTCCCAAGCCTCCCCAGGTCCCCTCCCCTGAGCTTGGCTCCCATCTCTTCACCCTCTTTGCAGGTCCTTGGAGTCTCGAGGCTGAAACTACAGTATCTGGACCCTCACCCCGCCCCCTCCCCTGTACAGTATTTATTGTCACCGGCTCCTTATTTAAAGATCTTTGACCCTCACTGAGTGTCTGTGTGTCTGTCCTGCATCCTGGGGTTAGAGTGTCTTGGGATGTGGGGGAGGGAGAGAAGCTGAAGTCTAGAGCAGGTCCGGAAGAAACCCTTTTCGGAGTCTGAGAGCAGAGGTGGAGACTTTCCCCCAAGGTCTGAAGGCGGAGGCTGGCCGGCTTCCTAGGCCTAAGTCCAAGGCGGAGGCTGGGGCCCTGTCTGGGTCCGAGTGCGGGGTCATAACCGAAGACAACGCCCCCTGCCCTTAAAGACAGACCGAGGGCGAAGGCCAAGCCCCTTCTGTAGTTGATCTGACAGAGGAGTCCTGAGAAGCTGCAGAGCCGGTGGGCGGCCTCTGTGTGGGCGGGGTGGAGCGAACCACAAGCTTCGTTCGCCAGGGGAGCCCTGCGGGCCGTACTATCATCAGCGTGGGAGGTGGGGGTGCCGCGTGCAGTTCCCGAGGTGGGCGCAGGGGGTGCAGAACAAGGTGCACTCGCCGACCCGGCATTCACCCCACCCTCCAACCTGAGCGCGTGTCTCCGGGAGCCGCCCCCGCCTTAAAATCCAACCTTTACTCCCACCTCACCGCCGGTCCAGCCCTCGCGTCCCGTGCGGCGCCAGGGCCGGCGCGCGCCACCTCCGGGATCCGGGGTCGCAACTCGCATTCCACGCCGCGCGCCACTAGCTCCAGGTGACATCATCCCCCTGCCGGGCTCCGCCTCCCGCCCCAGCCGCCGCACGCCGCGCGCTTATTGGCCGGCGCTCTTCGAGCCCCGCCTTCCGCTCTCCGCCCGCGCGACCCCTCCCAGTCCGTGCGGAGGCGGGGTTTAGCCACCGGCCGGCGCCGACGACGCCTCCCATTGGCCATTCAGAGCCGTCTGTCAGTCTCCTGTTAAAGGGGCCACGACCGCACGGGAGCTGTGGGGGGGGGGGAGGGAGGAGGAATTTTTTTGGGGGGGAGGTGGGATTTGGGGGGCGCTGGTGGGCACCCCTGGATCTGGCGGCTGCGGCCTCGCGGGGGGGAGGCTGAACGGTGATAGGGGCAGGGGGCTATTTTAGGGGGTAGAGGGCTGTTAGACCGTGAGGGGGAGGGGGGGTCCCCAGCGCCCAAGCCGGAGCCAGAGACGCGGAGCCCGCGCGAGCGGCGGAGACAGGGCTCCGGAGCCACAGACTCGGGCCCCGGCCGCCGCCAGGGGCCCCGCCCGGTCCCCCCACCCCACCCCACGTCCCTCCTGCAGCCCAGCTCCGCCCGCAGCCGCCGCGGACCAGGTAGGTAAGAGCCCGGCCCAGCCCGCTTGGCAGCGCCCACCCCGGGGACCCCTCGCCGCGCCTCCCTCGCCTTCCCGAGATCCTGGACTCCCTTCTTTATCCCCGGGGGCTCCGGAGCCCAGATTTCACAGCCCAACCACAGAGACTCAGGCGTGCCCCTCCCGGCTCTCAGAGTCCCCAACCGAACCCTAGAATCCCAGGCGTACTGCCGCCTTGCGCCTCGTCCAGGGCCCAGGAGCCTGGATTTCCCAGTTCAGCTCCGGCAGCCCCCTCTGGACCTACATCCTCCTCCTCGGCCCATTCCCGGCAGCTCCAGACACCTGCCGTGGCTGTGTCAGACCCCCAGCTAGGGCCAGCTGCCCCCCGTCGGGTGTGCATCGTCCCCTATTCGTGCACCCGGTCTGCCCATCTCCAGCTTGAACAGCCAGCCTCCTCCCTCGGTCCAGGCCCGCTCGGCAGCCGCCCTGGACACAGGCCCGCTCTGGAGCTGTCCATGGTCAGCGCACTCGGCAGCCTCACCTCCCCCACCTCCTGCTGCTGCTGCCGCCGGGGAGGGGGCGCCTGCGGTTCGGGGAATACCCCCCGCCGCGCCTTTGACCCGGAGATACCCGGGGCCCTCTGCACCCCGGGCGCCTGGGCCTCAGGGTTCCTCTGGTGAGCCTCTCGTCTCGTCCTCAGTACCCCAGGTTTCTGGGACATCAGCTGTTTCTTGAGGAGTCAGGGCTTCTGAATGTTCCTGCCTGGTCCACCTTAGGGACCTTGGCATCCAGGGATCTAGCTCCCACCTGGCTCTGGAAGCCCTGTCGGTGCTCACCCCGCCTGTCTGAAGGCCCCAGCTGGTAGCCCCCACTCGCTCAGGACCTGGGAATCCAGTTTCCCAGCTCTTGCCCCCTTTAGAGACCCAGCTCAACAGCCCCTGTGCCCCTCAGGCAAATAGACCCAGCCTCCTGACACCCCAGCACTGCCTGCTTAGGGATTCAGGCACCATGACTCTCTCTCTTTCAGGGACTTGGAATGCAGTTCTTAAAGCAAATCTCTGGCTTCTGCCCACCTTCCCCCTTGGAGGCCTAGATGCTTTGTCTCTGGTCCTGCATCCCCTCAGGGACCCAGGAGTTCAGACCCCAGCTTCCGTATTGCCCACCAAAACCATCTGCCACAATCCTCCTTCCCAACAAGGACTCAGGCTCCAAGCTTCCATCCCCTGTCCTTTATCTCCACAACTATTCAGGAGTCCAGGCCCCCACCAAGTATCTAGCCTGTTAGCTCTTACTCTTAGGGACCCAGGTCCCCCCAGCCTCACAACCCCCATCAACTTGACATCTCTAGTGGCCTTAACAAACCCCTGCCTCATCCCCATATCATCTCAGGCACTGGGCTCCCTGGGGGTTCTCTTCTCTATTCCCTGAGACCCAGGTTCTTGAGATGTTTCCAGCACCCCATCATGATGTTTCTGTCATGATGTCCCATCCTCTGAGTACACCTTCTCAGGCTGATGAGCCAAGCATAGACCCCTTCCTCTAGATGTGTTCTGTGACCTAGGTTCATTAGATGATCTAGAACCTATCCACTATCTTCCATATTTCTAGTTAAACTGTGCCCTTGCAATGCTCTAGATTCTTTCTAAATCTTAGAAATTAGATTCTTTATAATTCTTAGATTCTTTCTAAATCTAAATCTTAGAAAGCTCTCAGTCAATATCTCTGTTCTGTTTTCACCCACGGAATGTTTTCAGTTCTAGGTTAGATGATAAAATCTAGGCATGTATTTCCCCAGGGGAATTCAAATGTCTTGATAATGCCCCCAAACCAAATTCTGATCCCACCTTCTCCTCACATATGTTCCAAATTTTTAGAAACCAGTACTTGCTTATTCTCTGCTAAAATTTTATTTTAGGTGTGTTCTAGGTTCCAGCCACATCCTTGGCATTGTTCTAGATTCTGTTCTCCTCCCAGGGGCATTCTACATTCTGTGTAGAATATGTGTGTTCCAATTATGTGCTCTACCCTTTCTCCAAATTGCACTATCAATTTTATTTATTTATTTATTTATTTATTTATTTTAAAGATTCTATTTATTTATTTGACAGAGAGACAGTGAGAGAGGGAACACAAACAGGGGGCAGTGGGAGAGGAAGAAGCAGGCTCCCCGCTGAGCAGGGAGCCCGATGCGGGGCTCGATCCCAGGACCCCGGGATCACGACCCGAGCCAAAGGCAGACGCTCAACAGCTGAGCCACCCAAGCGCCCCGATTTATTTATTTTTAAAAAGATTTTATTTATTTATTTATTTGACAGAGAGACACAGCAAGAGAGGGAACACAAGCAGGGGGAGTGGGAGAGGGAGAAGCAGGCCTCCCGCCGAGCAGGGAGCCCGATGCGGGGCTCGATGCGGGGCTCGATCCCAGGACCCTGGGATCATGACCTGAGCCGAAGGCAGATGCTTAACAACTGAGCCACCCAGGCGCCCCTGCACTATCAATTTTAAAATGTACTTTCTTATTTTAGGTCCCATCCACTTCTACAGTCTTAAATCTACAGGATTCTCACTGAAATGTAGTGCATCTTCCTTTTTCAGGTACTAGATTCTAGGCCCATCCATTCCCACCTTTTCTGTCCATCTTTTCCCTAATGTGACCTTCGTTTAGAACTTATCTCCTGGAGGACTGTGGGCTTCCTCCTCCATCTGGCACTTAAGCATTCTAAGCATGCTCTAGGCTCATCTCCTCTTTTGGAGTCTTCAGCTAGAAATGTCCTCATTTCCAGAACATCTCTTCCCCCTTCTTTTGCCAGCTCAGTCCTTATGCCAGTAAATTCTCAATTCCCAGCATGCTTCTGAATCTTCCCCCAGGCACTTTTAAGTTCCAGGCAAACTCCTTGCTACTTTCTAGGGTTTCCCCCCCACCTCCAGGGAATGTTCTGAATTCTAGTGTCTATCTTTTGCCTTCTGTCTGTCACCTAGACACATGATAACACCAAGAGTGTGATCCCTGCTATATTCTTTGTTACACCTGCATCCCTGGTAAGGTTCTGAGTTCTAGATGTCCCCCGACTAGGTATGTCATGTGTTACATTAGGTATGTTCTTAGGTATCATCTTGCTCCCCTCTGTGTTTGGGGTTCTTCAGTGACCCAAACCACTCTTTCATTTATTGGATTGCTTTTGACTGGTTCAGGTTCCAGACCTAGGTTCTAGAATATGCCCCTCTACTTGGCCCTATGTGAAGATTTTACCCCAAGCGCACTGTACCTGTGGAAACACATGTCCTTTCTGCACTCTGTACTGTCTTCATGCCGTGGCTTTCTAGATCCTACACCCAGCCTTGCTAAATTTTACGTCCTTCTCAGTGAATTTGAAGTTCTAGAGCAGCTTCTCAGAAACATCCTGTGTTGCATCTCCCGAGTAGGTTCTGGATTTTAGATACCGTGTTGGTCTTGACCTCTCTCCTTATAAATATTGTCTTAAATCTGGCCTCTGAGTGCTGGCAAAGACCCAAGGGTGTAGGCATCTAGCTGCCTTCACTCCCAGGTTCCAGGGCCCTCCATCCCCTCCTCTTCTCATTGAAGTCCAAGACCCCAGTTCCAGGTTTTGGACATAGTGTGCACACTGGGTGGGGCTGGGAACTATTCGCTGTCAGAACCGGTTATGCCGCTGCCTGGAGGGAGAGAAGGAAAGGAGGGAAGAGAGTGAAAGTCTCTCCTGCTTTCGACCAGGCCAGATGGACCCGTCTGACCTGATGTGTGTGGAGGGAGCGGCTCAGGAGACCTCCCTTCATCTCCGCCCACGGCTCATGCACCTAGATTCCTGGGTCCTGGGGGCCTGGACTCTGGGGTTCTGGAGGAAGAGGGGTCTGAAGACTGGGATTTCTGGGTCTGAGGTTGGAGGTTGAAAACTCAGATTCTTTTTTTTTTTTTTAAAGATTTTATTTATTTATTTGAGAGAGAGGATGAGAGGAGAGAGAGAGCACATGAGAGGGGGGAGGGTCAGAGGGAGAAGCAGACTCCCTGCTGAGCAGGGAGCCCGATGCGGGACTCGATCCTGGGACTCCAGGATCATTACCTGAGCCGAAGGCAGTCGCTTAACCAACTGAGCCACCCAGGCGCCCGAAAACTCAGATTCTTGTGTCCCTGTCTGACCCCCAGGATTGGGGAAGAGGTGGCTGAAGGCTCAGACTCCGGGGTCTAGGGGAGAGAAGGGAATTGGGGACCCAGCCTCCTGTGGCCTGAGGTAGGAGGGAGCTGGATCTTGGACTCCTGGGTTGAGGGAGCTGGCTAGCAAGTGGGGTGGCTTTTAGATTCTTTTGGAGCTGGGGTCCAGATATCTGGGACATTGGGGGCAGGAGTTGGGCTGGATAGATGAGGACCATCCCTGTGACCCTGTTCTGGTACCAATGACCTAATTCTGTGGCCCCAGTTCTTTGACCTCCTGAAGGCA